AGGTCAGGTAGTTCGTGAACAAGCCCGGCTGGAAGAGACAATATTCAAGGACCTGTATTTTGTGAGCCGAGACTTTTAAAATGACATCTGGGATAATACGGACCTTCTTCTCCTTGTTCACCTCCGCGAGGTAGTCGCGGGTGACTTGCTTGAAAGAATACCAGAATAAGTGGTCGAACTTGGACCTGGAGAACAATATCGTAAGAAAACATCCAACTAGAGTGGCTGAGAACTTACGTAGCCCATTCGCTGGGAGCAAAGCGCTTGACTCCAGCTTGGATGCACGCATTAATCAAGTTCTTCTGTGTGTCACTCTGAGAGGTGTTCGTCGGATCCGCTGGACCAGAGACGAAGGAAAGCACCGTCTCTACACCGCCAAGAATCTTGGTCAGATGAGCGACCTCATAGTCTGTCTTGACCCATTGAACTCCCGGGGCAAGCTTTTGGGCGGGTGCATCCTAGAAACATGAGCAATATGACGCTTTTGGACGACAAAGAACCAACCTTTCTTGAAAGGAGAATGATCTCATGTTTTTCTCTGGCCACCAAGGCATCATGGACCTCTGATCCGACGTCTTGTACTTACGTGTTAGCCTACCCATCCTGAGACGAATTGATGACATACTGCTCGAGCCGCCAACGATTGCAATCTTGGCCATTTCGACTTTTTGGGTTTGGACCGTTTGGTTTCGTTTGTGAAAATGGGTACCTGGGATTTTGGGCTTCGGCTGATGTTGATTGTCCTCCGGTTGAAGACATGGAGCGAATTGGCTTGTACTTATACACAGGCTCGCGAACCCCTTCTATGGTGCTGCCGGACGCAAGAGATCACTGCTTCCGCCGATAATACGGTCGCCATCCCGTTGACTAATATGCCGATGGCCGCTTCGCCGGAGCTCCAATGTGGCCCCGCTGCGGGCGGTATTCCCGGGGCTTAATTCCACCGCCGAAATACCGGCGGAACGGCGCCGGTCTAGGACTTGATGACTAATTCTGACATGCATTAGGCAGACAAAGGACTACTCAGGGATGTCTTCTCATCTTCACGGATCATTGCGTCGATACTATCGATTCCGGTTCTTATATCGGTTTCACCGACTACTTGGACAATGGAGCAAAGTACTGTCCCACGGCGACCCTCCTCATTGGCCGACTCTACCGGTCCAACTCCGAAGCGCCGGAAATTGCGGAAGGGCACCCAAAGCTGCTGGGACTGCAAGCGGCGCAAGGCCCGATGCACCTTCTCCGCCGATACGCCGGAGACTTGTGATAGTTGCAAGCGCCGTGGAGTCGACTGTGTCAGCCAGGAGGTCACCGACCAGCCCCCTCCTCCTGGAAGCAACAAGCACATCGTGGATAGGCTGGGTCATGTCGAAGCTCTAGTAACTCAACTACTCAAAGCTGCTCGCCAAGAAGGCCATCTAGGTCCAACTCCGGAAAGCCTCGCAGCAGAAATACGCCAATGGAGCCGTAGAAACGGGCCAGACAGTGAAGAATCACTGGTTGAACCTTCTGGTGTTGTAGCCTCCACACCTCCTTCACAGCCCGTCGCACAAGTAGGTTGTCCGGACATACCTCAATCCTAGATAGCCATGTTGACAGAAATTTAGTCAATTTCTCAAGAAAACCCATCCAATAATGTTTCATGTCAACCAGTCACAAACCTGGGCGAAGACGCCACGGGGGATAGGAATCCAGGGTTGCACGATGCCTTATCGCAACGTCTTTTGGCAGCTTGGCCCTGCAAAAGGGATATGGACGTTCTTCTTGGTATGCCAGTAGAGACATCCCAGGTCATCCGCGCAGTCACATGCGCCAGAGCGGACTCAAATGGCTCAGCCCTGCCATCTCTCAAAGTCTTACTGCAACTACCACCAGAGGGATCTCATCCTACACTGGTGGCACGCAAACTCTTGGTACTGGCGACCTTTCTTCAAGGAATTCCGGAGTCTTCTTCAAATCAACTGGACAGCCTTAGCACTCCCTACCAAGCGATCATGTTTCGGGCGGTGTCGACGGCTCACGATCTGGTCACTAGTAACGACGAGTTAGTTGCCTCCTTCGAAGGAATCGAGTGTATCCTTCTCGAAGCCCTCTTCAAGAACTACACCGGCGATCTTCGCCAGTCTTGGCTGGCCGCCCGCAGAGCAGTGACAATCGCGCAAATGCTGGGTCTCGATCGTGACATTGCGCCCTTGTCTTTGTCTGGATTCTCCGTCGACCCCGACGATATGTGGTTTCGAATCGTCCAGTTTGACCGCTACATCGCTCTGATGCTTGGACTACCGCAAAGCTCGGTTCAGGACACCTTCGCCACTCCCCAGGCTCTCGAGAAATGCTCGCCCCTCGAACGGATGCTACGCCTGTGCTGCGTAGCATGCGGACGGTTATTACAACGAAGCGCCTCCGAACTACATGATGCCAATCTCACTCAAGAAGTAGACAAGTTATTGCAGGATGCTTCCGCCGCGATGCCGCCTCAGTTCTGGGTATCACCGAACTTGATCTCGTGCACTAGCCAGTCGGACAAGGTTCGCGAAATTCTGCGATTCAACAACCATTTCATGTACTACCATATCCTCTTGCAACTACATCTGCCTCATATGTTCGATTCAACTACCCAGAAAGAGAACTACCATAATAAAATGGTCGCCTTTACAGCAAGTCGCGAGATTCTCTCCAGATATGTGTCTTTTCGCGCGTCTCAGACAACGCGTTACTACTGCCGAGGCATAGACCTGGTCACCTTCATACCCTGCACAACCCTATTACTGGCCTATCTAAACGGTGGTAGCCGCTGCGCAGTAGCCCAAGACGCCAGCCCTTTTACCGCACATCAACGACTGAGTGATCGAGGGCTTTTGGAGCAAACCCTGGCGATCATGCAAGGGGTTGTTGATATAAACGACGATGCAATTGCTAAGCGGGTGACTACCTTACTTCGATATCTCCTGGCTATTGATGAAGATGCCATGTCGGGAGGACGGTACACTGTTGTGTTCTCGCCAGAAATACGAAAGCGTGGGGAAGACTTCGGAAGCCATGCGGCTTTGACGGATAGCAACACCGTCTTGAAAATCTGTTTGCCTCATCTGCCGACCATACAGATCCAAAACGACACACCCAACACACCAATACCACTGAAATATGGTCCAGACCGAGAGAAAACGGGCGATTGCCAACATAAAGACCTAGGAAATGGATGCGGATGCGATCGCAGGCCAAAAGATTGGGGTGACCCAAACGTGGTACAGATCATGCCGGTAGCTGTTGAGGACCCATCCGAAGTCCTTGACAGAGTTGACATACATGAATCGCGATTGCTGAGAAACAGCTCCGCCGAGGTTGACTGGAACTTTGAGAACCTCGACTTTGCGTTTCTGGACAGCTTCATTGAGGGGGCGTTATAACTCAACACGGGCCACAAAAGCTAGTTGCCATGTGTTTCAATGGAGGAAAATGGTCAATGTACACGAGATTCCTCATTCTTCGAATATCTCAAGATCCTAGAAGGTCTATGAGGCTATATCATAGAAGGGCCTCAACCTCCGCCAACGATTTCACCTGTGGCGACGGCCCCTCCAAAGAGGTTTCTGCCTGCTCGTTGTAATGAATGGCAAAGATACCCGCTTCCCTCGCTGGCACGGTATCTCGGACTGGGTTATCTCCGATGTAAACCATGTCCGAAGGTTGGATGCCTAGGTGCTCCAAAACTCTTGGGAACAGACCCTCAGTCTTGGAAACTCGGAAGAAGTTGGTGGTAGCTAGGAAGTCGACATGTCCCGCTAAGCCGAGCTGTTTCACCGTCCTTTCTTGTGCATCTTGTGGCCCCTCAGTGATGACAGCCACCTTCTTGCCCTTCTCTTTCAAAGTCGCGAAAAGACTCAAAGCCCCGTCTTTGAGTTGCAATGACTGTGTCAAAGTATCTTCGTATGTGACAAGGAGCCGATCGATAAAGTCAACGTCTTGGGCGCGGGAGAAGCGCTCTAACAAGGTTGTGAAACGCTCTCGTCTGTACTCAAATGAGGTCTTGCCGTCGGAGAAGGCGTTTAACGTTTTGTCGCGGAGAATGTTTGTGTACTCTTCCTTCAAGGCATTCACAGGTTGTCCATACTGCTGAGATATTGCCTCAAGTGTCTTTGCGATTGCAGCCGCAGATGCGCGTCGGAATTCATGCAGAGTGTCATCAAGATCGAATCCAAACCATGTCTTCTCGGCTAAGACTGCTCGGATAGGTGGAGTATCCGCAGGTTCGGTCATGGCGTCTTTGGAGTCGTGAATTTACGTACGAAACGAATCAAGCATGTTTTTGGATAATTCGGCTACTTTTGGGGACGAAGCACGTAGAATGACGCAACGCCAATTTCATGCCGCTTTTTCTGAGTTCGCGGGAACCGCCGATATCCGCCGGTCGTTGTGGGGTAGTCATACGGCAGTCAACGAGGTGCGCCTCAAGGCGGCAAACTGCGAAGAAGAAAACTTAGAAGAGGAGAAAGACGTGACTCTGAACTCTCCATCGAATGCACACTGAGATGGTGTCACTGGCATACGCATGATCCTTAGAAGGAGACTTTGGCTTTTTTAACACCGTGGGGCACACTTTGTATGTTCCTTGTATTGACTATCGACCTCTCCGTCAAAAGCTTGTGATTTCCTTGGGAAGACACGAAGTTTAATACAAATATGTGAAATGAGCGAATGACCAACGCGAGAAACGTACAAAAATGATGACAATGGAATAGGAAATAGGAAAATTGAGTAGCCCACCTAGGTGGTGAGGTTGGAGATCTCCCACACAGTGAGAACGCAACTATCAAAGTATGCTGAACCCAGTGGCACTGGCTTGAAAATAAATACCTGAGTTGAGGGAATGAATGGGAAAGTAGTCGTATGTAACCCTTTCAAACCCAGCAGAACTACAAACATAAGTCGCAATACTATAGTAGCCATTCTAAGATGCCTTGCCATACCTTACATCTATTTGATTGACAGCTCTTCGATCAGTCTGTAGGAGGAGATGCTTGACCCTCCGGTTCTTCTGTGGTTAACTGAGCCACTTCCGCCATTTTCCGAACTTCAGCAGGCATCTTCTCCAACACTTGACGATGGAATTCTGCTGCAGCTTTCGCCGATGTTCTTGACAGCTGGCGCACCATACCGAAGTAAGCTGCTAGAACAAGCAGCATGCCCTCGATTCTGTCGTTATCAAATGGTTGCCATGCACCGTTATCTCCAAGCAGTTCAACTATCGGTAGGAATGCACACCATGAATCATGGTATTCTGTATCGTTTGGTTTGTTGTACCAGTCGTACTTCAGATCCTCGGCTCTGATTCTGTTGAAGAGGCAAACAAGAGGAGAAAGCGGCTGATGGGGACTTGTCGGCTTTGCTCTGGCGTCCAAGAGCCAGCGCAATCTCCGAAGCATCTCTTCTTCAAAGGATCGCAGCATATGGCTAACAGTATGGCATATTGCTAGTGTGCCAATGGGGCATTTGAATTTGGCCGGATGTGCATCTTGGTGAACCCATAACTTCCGTTCGGCTTCGAGATCAGAGTAGACGTAGTGCTCGCTCATGTCAAAGTCTTTCTGACCCATTACAAGGCCCAAACAATCTCGTAATTGGCGCAAGACTGCTTCATCAATGTCCGGAATTTGGCAGGCATAGAAGAAAGCTAACTGAAACTCGGATACCATCTGGAAACGATCCCGAGACGCCCGGCCAACGTTCCATGTCCAGTTGAGAAGTTCAGGAAGATTGCTCGACACGCTGTCCATGAGGAGTTGCAGATGCTCTGAACGAGCTGATGCTCGTTCAAGTAGTCGCAAATACGAACCCTGGGGTGCCACGGGCCTGGGGGCAGAATCGTCGATGATTTTCAATATACGCGTGATGTGAGCATGTGTTGACACACCATCGCTAGACACTTTGGGCCAACAAGCGCCATTCAAGGCCAGTTCTCTGACAGCCTCTGTCTTTTTCCACAACAAAGCCCAGTGAAGGGGCTCGAGCGGTGTTTTCTTACACATCGGAATAATTCGCCGGTGATCCCACCCTGAACCTTGTTTTGACACGGTTCTAGGGCAATATCCAGAATGTACATCCGCTCCCAATTGGATGGCGTGACTGACCATGGATGCATTTGGCGCCAAGACAGCATAGTGTATTGGTGCTGCGTTCCCTTCGTCCTTGCTGTGGATATCCACTCCGAGGCCCTCGACAAGATGAGACATGATAGCTTTGTTTCCTGTTGCAGCTGCCGTATGGATTGCAGCAACATGTCCTGAGATGTCATTTTCTTGGTCTCGTAGGTGAGGATAACAGTAAAGCCGTCCGATAGCGCGTCCGCCTATGTTTCTGTTGTAAGGGCGCTTATACCATCTTCCAGACGATTGCGGCACGCACAAGTTGCCATATGAGGCCCCAGCAGAAAGAAGCAGCCTGGCAACTGAGGAATGGCCCTTGCAGATGGCGTAATGGAGAGGTGTCCAAGCTGGATAATCCCCTAGATATCGTGTCGGGTTCGTAGGGTCCTGTACGACGAGAGGCAAGCACTCGCAGCAGAACCTTGCAGGTGCTTCAATGTCTACATCCTCATCGAGAAGCCACGCGACGACGTGGTAGTGGCCATTCATCGCGGCGACATGCAATGGAGTGGCCCAGCCCGCATCGGGCGGTGTGAAATCGGGCTTGTGGCTCAAGGGGCCGTCTCGTGCCATCATCTCTTCCCACAGGTTCAACACCCACTCGAAGGGTTCAGCAAGCGGAGTGATTTTGTTAAAGGCTGCACCGTAGCGTTTTGCTTTCTGCAATGTAGCAAGATTTCCCTCGGCAGCGGCAAGAAGAACCGCGTCTTGGATCCGCCCTTCATCCACTGCGCTGTTGTACAGCTTGGGGTCGCACACATAACGGAGTTTGTGGTTGACACGCGCCATCGCGGCCAGGCTTTTGGGATCAGTGACATAGCTGGCGATATGCTCCCAGGTCTCTAGAGGAATCTCATCGGCCTTTTGCCACCAGAACACAGATCCAGGCTGGTTATCCATCGTTGGGCGTAGTGGATATCACAACGGATGGGTTGTGCTGAGGCATTGGTCAGTCTACGGGTGAAATGTAGGTCGCAGTCGGCCCTGAGTGACTCACAACGCGAGGTTGATACGGCTTCGAGTGTGAGGTGAAAATTGACCCTCTCCCTTTGACTGAGAGAAAAGTCCAAGTGACCGTGATTGATTTATGTCGTAGCCAACTGCTTTTGTTCCGTCCAAGGATCAAACGCGGGTGGGCTGCGCCGCAAACGCGTTGCTTCAAGCGCGTTGGATGACGGGAGTACGGCGTGCGAGCGAATTCTTAAGCCAAGGGGCACTTAAGAAAGACGTACATGCCTCGGATTAAAGTGGAATCGGATTTGTGACGAGTTGGCCAGCATGCAGTTTAGAAGTCAATCCGAGGCTGCTGTGTGGTGCAGAGTAGGTGTCTAGGTCCGCAGGGGCAGTCGCGAACGCGAACACGAACGGGATCTACAACCGGCAAATTGGGGCCGCCGTTGATGATGCCAGTACCATTGAATGAGTTGATATGAATAGCCCAGGTCCAATTCACAGTAAGGAAATACAACATGTTAGGTATGCGAGATGGGCCGGTATGTGATCAAATTTCATAGCAAAAACGATAGATCTGGCAAAACGTTGAGAGATGACAGTGTTGAATGTTTCATTTTCCAGCTTAGTCGCTGCGGGGCCCGAATCGTTCTAAAATCTTCCGGGCCCGCCGCGGCAGCGACGACCATGTTCCGTTTTTGATCTTCTCTCGCATCTTAGGATCTATTTCCTTGTTCTTGCCGTATTCCGTGTTATACCCAACGATGTATCCATACTTGTGGAGTAAGCCGTTTGGACTCGTCCAGTCCGTTTCATCATCGTACGCCTCATGGCAGCCTAGAAGTCGTAAAATCTCGATCAACCCGCCACTGTTGTAATTTAACCTCTGTGGAAGATCAGTGCCCCAGTTCCCCTCTCTGAATCCATAATCATCCAGAACTTGATTTAAAAGCTCTCTCAAAGCTATTTCCAGACTGCTCCACCTACCATCGCAGACCGAAGCCCCATTCTGCAACAGGAAGTGGACAATGGGAGCCGAGTTGTTCCATGTTATATGGGACTTCCAATAGATGTAACGGCATGATCTGAGAATTACTTGCAAGGCCATTGTGGCTGCATTGATGGTTATGGAGAGGGAGGTCAAGCGCCTAGGCAGCGCCCTTAAGGCACTGATCTGAAGATCAGTGATCTTGATGTATTGTAAGATAGACTCCAAGTCAAAATCACCGTCTTCACACATCTGGAAGAATCCTTCAAAGAGGATTTCTGAACAGCCTTCCGCTGATACTTGTAGTGGCACAGTTTCCACTGTTTTCCTTGCTGCCATCAGAAAAGCCACCCGTTTGAGACCGACCTGTTCCGGTCCAACTCTGTCACTGGTATAATCACGCCCTCTCCAGTCATAAATAAGTCGCGTTAACAATGCATCAGGTACTCTGATAAGATCAAGGGACCAGTACATCCTTTTGTAATACCACTCCCAGACTGGAGTGCCGTGCTTCATCAACTCAACAGCTAATGCAGGATGTCTGAATCCGAATGCTGTAACAAGAGGGGAATACACCGACGTACCCATGCGATCATTCTTGCCTAATGCCACGAGAAAACGAACCACGCGGACGCTGGTAGAGTTCGCAGAGCGATACAGCGCATGCTCGCCGAAATTGCCTGCCTCGTTTTTGATGTCGACGCCCATTTTATGTCTCAGGCGACGAATGATAGCTCGATTATCTTTTGCTGCAGCGGTGTGGATTGCGGGCACGTCTTGGTTGGTACCCTTCAAACAGTAGCGTTTCTTCTCAATCTGTGGTGCCCGGATGCGAAGCAGCTTGCGACGAAAATCGTTTCGTGGAAGCGCTTCGGTGTAGTCGCAAAAGAAATCTTTGTGTCGCCGCTTTATCTTGCGAAGACCTGGGTGCAGACGTTTTGGGGCCGGGTCGACCTTGCAGAGGACATCCGCTCCAGAGTTGAGTAGTCGACGAGCAACATTGGTGTGGCCCTGGCAAATGGCATAGTGTAATGGCGTCCAGACTAGGATACGTTTGTTTTCTTCTCGATCGAAAACGTCATCACCCTCGGTGAAACATTCGCAATGTAGACAATCAGGTGCCTCAATGCTGACATTCTTCGAGAGAAGCCAGTTGACGACGTTCATGTGGCAACCCGCTACAGCAAAGTGCAGCGGTGTTCCCCAGCATATTTTCCTTCGAGGTAACCCATGTATATTGGCGTGCGAGCCTTTCAAATCAAGTTTGTGAATAACATCAAGCTTGGCACCACGTTCACATGCAAACTGGAGGCCGGCTAAATCGCCGCAGCGTGCTGCTTGAATGGTGAAGTTGGGCGTGTTTCGTAGAGCGGCTAGACGTAAGTATCGTGTGAAAATGATGTAAGATCGCCAGTTGACTCGAGCTAGAGATGCCAGATCAGCCGATTTGATTGCTGGTTGGTCTCCTATGAGGTAGCATAACTCCGTGGGAAGAGCAGATAGCGAGGGTGGGTTCGGGCACGACATCTCGATTCGACGGCGCGGGTGTACGAATCTGCGAGGCAATATGGGAAAACACATCCGATCAAATAGAGACACCCAGAGGGAACCTCTCCGACTGATCATAATTTAAGCTTTACCGCCCATTAGTCTGATAAAGCAATGATTGACAATTCGTATCGAAAGGGATCGGCACTTGATGGCTAAGCACCTGGCCAGCCTGAATCAACCCTGAGAGCAGGGTGCGCCATAGAGATTCTAAGATCCAAATTGCAGACATAAAATTCGAAACTTTATCCAACTCCGCAACTTCAAACATTTTTCTATCAGGATCACTTCATGTTGTTGGTGTAGGGAATACAGCACTCTAGAGCGCCAATGCATCCTGGCGAATAGATATGAGAATTCAGTAGAATCTATCGTAAGGCACTCTTTGATAAATAAGTGCTTGGCCTCGTGTTGGCTAATGAGCGCAGAAGGCGCAGGTAAATGCGAAAGAAATGGCAGTCGCAAGTTACGCATGTGACGTAACAATCTTGAGCAAACTACCCTCGTCTGGGAGGCAGGTCAGCTCATAGTTGTTCTTTGGGTCAGATGAAATCAGAGGGCATAGTATTGTGGCGTGGGGGCTTCGAAGTTGTCATGTGCTTTTTCTCAGAGCATACGGGACATGGGGTCGTGATGCTTTTGCAAGAGAAATACACTACCTAGGCCTGTGCAAGCACTAATGCCACTGGCTAGACTCCGATCAAATCAAACTATTCATATTTTCGAAGAAATGCGCAAAGCAACAATATGCTATCAAAGCTACACTTGAAATTGTCAAGTCTTTCAAAGATTGCTAAGGGCGTTTAGTAACCAAGCTCCCTTGCGTCTCAAGCAACACAGCTTACGCCACACCGTTAATCGACAGGTCACTGCATATTCCGAGACCCAATTGTAGCATACCTTTGAAAGGCAGTCCTCATGATGCAGTTCATCTGATGAGAACTGAAAGAAACTATGTAGTACACGAGTTTCATTCGCACGTCTGTACTACGTTGGGAAGACAACAGCCGGTCAACATTTGAGATCCCGAAGACAGCGAGTGTATATTCATTACAAGATAAGGATTTCGTCGCTGCCATCTTCAAGTGTTACATTTTCGGGTATAATTGCAAGTGAGGACGTTTCCAGTTTCCTTGGGCCTGTTCTCCCAGTCACCACTATTTTCTGTTGTTATTGTGTACTCTTGGTCGTGTCGTTGTGGCCTATCTTCTCTACTCTTCAACTAAAGCAGTTTAGTCCTGCCTTCCATTCTTCTGATATCTTGGCGTAACGCTCTGCAAACTACCCACATTCAGCTGGAGAAGCACCGATTCAGCCGGCCAATTCCGTGCGTCCCTGTTTCTGGTATTGGAATGGATCTACGAATTTTCCTCGCCGTGTTCTTCGTGAGCAAAGTTAGTGCAACAAACATTTCTGGTCTCTATCAAAGCCCTGTGGACTTTGATTGGGACCCCAAAGATCCCCCTCTGTGGACTATCCGTCCTGAGGATCGTTGGGCGTTTTTCGACAACAAGACCGCTTTCCTTGAGAAACGTTCTGGAGACCCCTGCTCGAGCAGAGATCACCATGCTCTAAAAATGTATCACCAGTACTTCGAAGCAGATTGTAAGGCAAAGTATCACATCCAATCAGACGGCACATGCGAAAGATGGTCGGATATTGAGACAAAATGCGGCAGCTTTTGTCAAATTCGTTAGTATCAATCCAACATGCCTTTGAGATTCTGAGAATAGCAAGTGGCTGACTCTGGTGTGCGTAGGCACATACTTCGAATGGGCCGAGGAACGACCATTCCCCCATTCTGATTGTCACGCACCAGTCGAGTGTTCCATGAAAGAAAGTGAATCAACATCCGTTGGTTGGAGTGTCAGCGTCACCCCGAAAGTCGGCAAGCTATTCAAGGCTGGAATATCTGGCGGATGGTCAGAGAGTTGGAGCACTGCGTACGGTCGCACCTGGACCGTCAAGTTGGATAAAGGCCAGTGTGGCTACTTTACGTTTGTTCCCGTGAGGAAGGTGGTCTGGTAAGACATTTGAACTTTTCAATATCTGACTGATCTCCACTAAACAGTCTATTCAGTGGTACATTGTCAATGTGTGTCGAGAGATCGATGTCCCTCCCTGGGCCTCCTTGGTTTAAAGCTTGGTGCGACAAGGGGAAAGACGAAACAGAACACCAAGGGAATGCTTGCATTGATGAGTTGTGGCTGATCAACGGCGAGTCCGGCAAACAGGTTCCGGATGGTGCCATCATATTTGTCTACACTGACTGTCGAACGCGCGAGCCTCTGCCTATGGACAAACAGGATCCTATCTACTCTTCCCCTGGTGTTGCTCTCGATGGTAAAACCATTGATAGCATTCAACAAGCCTGGGTTTGGAACTCGTGCGAGATTGTCGATATTGAAGGGTCAGGTAACAAAAAGTTGATCATTAGAGGTTCGGGTTTTCCCGATGAAAAGATTGGAGAGAACGGGGACGCTTTAACAAGGGATGTTGTGAAGAAGTGCGATATCTACGTGGCTATGGGAGCTTACCTACCCAAAGACGTCAAATTCGATTTCTATGAAAGAGGTAGGCCAGACGATTCACCCAGGGATCGAGGGGCTACATGGCAATACACAGCGACCGTCCATCCAAATACCAGACCGGGTTGCATCGGAGAGTTCCTGATGGATATTGGAGCCACAAGGCAGGACAAATGTATTGGAGAAGCAGTGCCTCGGGAGAAGAGAGGGACTGAAGGGGATGTAAAGCAACACTCATGGGTCGCGTAGCTGAGTAATTGATGACCTATCCATCTTTTGGAATCTTCATTTCACGGGTGATTTTGACACTCAAGATACCGAGCAGTATTTGATTCTCAGACAAGGGTCTGAAGCTGGTTTCCTTTGCCCATGGCAGTGTTAGTAAAAATGTGAGGGCTCTGGACCGGTTGGGCGTTTGAATTGTATGTCTACCGTCTTAACTTAGGCGGGCTTGTTTATCTGAGTTGATGCCGGCCGCTACCTGTGTATGGCTGAGGGACACCTTGATGACTAGCCCATTCATAACGTCCATCTAAGTTGGAAATCAACACAAAGTACCTCCAGCGACCTTTCGCAATTCGCAACCAGATGTATAGATCTGCAATCACAATCTCCCCAAAGAACCTTTACCAACGGTCGGACTGGATGTAATCTGAATGTTAAGGTTCTAATTTGACGCTTAATACGAGTTATGTGAGAAGCACTGCCGAAATCTCCTTCGATAGTGATAATTTCTGAAGCTGACATTATAACGTGTATTAGAAGAGGACTTTGAGACCAAGCCTCTCCTTCTGATGTCTGCAGGCACCCAACATGTGGCACAGAAACTGAATCACACTTGCCCTCACTCATGCGGCCTCTTTGACAAATTTGCATGTGGAAGTGCTGGCTTAAAATGGAGCCGCAGGCCTAGTCAATATGCTGTGTTTGTTGCATTTAATGTCAAGTCCAAGTCTATCGCGAAAATCTTGAGTTTGGGTTTGAGTTCGCCTGCGAGGTTGGTTTCGCGAGTTACCTCCAAAAGCCAGTGAAGATCCACTGGACCTGTTGCCATCACGGTTGCTGATTTTCTTTCAAAGTTTTCTCCACTTCACACCATTCGAGTATAAACTGCTAGCGGTGCGAGAATTCCATGCCGTCGTTTCTTCAGACAAGACTCCCCTACCCTCTTCTTGCTCGATACATTGTGGTTCAAGAATCGACATGGATACGGCAAGGCTCACCGAGGCAACTTTTGCCCTCCTACCTTCAGAGCTTCTCAGTATGATCGGCGATTTCCTCGACAACATCCACGACCTTTCAAACCTCGCTCGTGTGAGCCAACCGTTCTACCGCGCCTTCAATCGTTTGCTGTATAAGGCCGCCGTCGAGGACCACCATCCAGGCCCGACGATTGAAGCAGCGAGCAACGGGAACCTCGGAGCTCTAAAGCTCGCAGCTGAACACGGCGCCAATCTTGACTACTATCAGGTTAAGCCGCTCACAGCAGATGAAAAGTTGGCGAAGGGTATTCCATACCAATTATCTCCGCGCGCCCGCTGGGGAGCACCCCTCCACTTCGCCATTATCTATGGCCATCAGCATGTCGTTGAATGGTTGATCTCCAAAGGCGTCGACATCGAGGCTCCGGCGCGACTTTATTGCGGGTGCGTGAGCCCCTGGAACGACATTTCTCCTTACCACGAAACCTATCGTACGGACTACGACAAAGGTGTCATGGTCTGGACCCCGTTACATTACGCCATTTGCCATAGGCAGACCGACATCGCGCACCTGCTTTCGGCTGGTTCGTCGCCACTTTGTATGGTTCCTCCGCAGCCAGCGTCATGGCCACCCGAACTGAAAATGCTTGAGGAGCTATATTGTGATTGCTCGACAAGAATTCGTCACATACTTATGGATCATTCTTATCGGAAGGACACTTGTGCTATTTATTGGGGAAGAAATGTTTTCACCACAGCACTTGATACAGCAGTGGCTTCCGGAAACAAGTCAATTGCCACGCGACTCATAAAGGATCTCGGGATGGATCCAAACCGCTTGGGGGGCACGGCCCACAACAGCGTTTTCCAATATGCGGCAACATGTGATGATGTGTCAATGATTGACCATCTGGTCTCATTTGGGGCTGATTCGAGGCTGCTTCTCAAAACAGACTGGCGCCATATCCAGTTCCCTATTTATATCGCTTTTCGCATGCACCATGCATCCGCAGCTCTCAAGTGGGTGGAAGGTGGCACGCCGATTTGGTCACGGGAGGAAGTGTGGGATAGTGACATCGACTCTTTCGAAAAGGTCGAGACGCCGATTGCTCTCTTGACCAAGGTACTCGCAGGCTGGGGTTAACAAATACAGATTGCCTGATCAGAACAATGGAACTTTTGAGAGTACAAGGAGCTTGGAAGGATGCCCGAGAACAAAATGGAAGAATTTCCACCGAGGAAAAGAGCTCCTGGACCCTTGCTGGTACAACTGTGAAGGGTGAGAAGTGTTCAGAGCTCTCTGGTCAATGGAACAAGCTCGGATCCGACGAGTTGAAGATTATCCCGTCCAAGTGTTGGCACATCTTCAAAAAGATCAGGTGGGAGAATGATCTTGGATTGATGGTATAGGACTTCTGGGAGGACCATTTGGAATTCACACAATACACGAAAACTCCTCGTGTATGGACATCAGAGCCTAAGGCGGATATCGAAGGGATCAGATAGATAGTGGTTTACGGCTGGCAATCTCTGGCAACCAGACGTCCAGATCTGCAATCACACCTTCAACCGAAGAACCTTCAACAACGGAATTGTTCCAGCATAACGTGACCGTGATCTCTCCCCCAACGACACCCGCCATGTTGGCACTGAATCCAGGACCCAAGACTGACGCTGACTGGGAGAACACCGCCCGGGTCATGTTCCAGCTCCCACTTCCTCCGTTGATGGCGCCCAAGTTGCTGAGCTCCCAGCTGTTGCTTCGTTCCTGACCATTCTTCTGGCGGAAGAAGTGGTGAAAGTCCCCTACGTATTTCAGCATGGATCCTGGGTCGTCGTGTGGCAGACTCGCGAGCTTGTCGTTCATGGTAGACTTGACGGAGGCGGCGACCTTCCAGATGGCATCTTCGTATTCTGTGCCTGACGATGATCGGAGCTTGGTGACGAGAGCAGGCGGGATTGGATGGTCTCCTGATGTCACGAGCACGAGCATCTGGTTCTTTGCGTCAAAGTCTGAACCGGCGGGCAGGTACCGCCTCAGACTGATGGGGGAACAGGGCTCAAACGTCGGTGCCTCGGACTCTGGGATCCGTCGGGATGCGGATGCGACAATGAGGGCATGAAGTAGCGGTGTCAGCGTAACAGAATGGCTTCGTGCCACGACGAGCAGCTTCGTCGCAAGCGCTGGAGGAATCCGCAAAATGTGGGTGCTGGTCTCGTTTGGCTGCGCAAGATCGATCGGGCGCGCTTTCCACGGTCGAATAGCGGGTTTGCTCTTCAGCCACGAAGGGCCAAAGGCGTCCCAAAGAGTGGCCAGGAAGAATGTCCAGCTAAGTCGCGAGCTGACGAGTTCATGTTGCGGTGGCGGTAGCACAGGCGGTTCTGGAAATGCGATCGTCTTTCCTTCCAGGCCTGGAATGTCTTTCATGGGGTTGCCCAGCGCTTCGAGGAGTCTTTGATGGAAGATGGAGCCGCTGGTGCCGTCGCTAATGGCATGGTGGAAAGCGTAGACGATCTCAACCTCGGATGGCGTCTCTTCGCCATTGAAAATTGGGATGATGGAGACCCTCCACGGTGGGCGCTGCTCGATATCTGGCCATAGCTGGGAATGCTGGTATGAGAGATGTTTGCTCAGGGTGGCGTCCACTTCGTCTGGCCGCGATGACCCGAACAATTGGATATGTTCCGACAGATCGACACGTGGGATATGAACAAAGCTTGTGCTTTGTTTGTCTTGATCGATGATTCCAACCCGCAACATGGGCTGCTCCAGGACGACTTGTGCAACAGCCCGCTGAAGAGTGTCTCTCAGGGTGGCATTGTCAGTGCCAGGTGGGACCGCGTACCGGCCCGTGACGGAGACAGAGTGATAGAAATTCAGAGAGTGGCGTGCCGTGGAGTATTTCTCCCTGTAGTAGCAGACGTCAGAGGCTTTCGCAATGCATCGGATATGTCTGCGGCGCCTACATGTAGCCACATGGTCGGGCCACTGTGGGTTGAGGCTTCATGGCTGGCAACGTGGAGCGGTCTTTCAAGCTCTCAAGTTGCAGACAATGGCGGTTGGACCCTGAGTTGTATTGCTAAAAATGAACAGCAGGGAGGTTGAGTCGCGATTGGTCCAAGCTCACGCAGTGTCAACAAAAACAGGCGTGGACATCCCTCCATTTTATCGCGCTGGTGAGCACAAAGCTCTTGTGCACGGGCATTGTTGATGCAAGGGGTCCCCGACTGAGAGAGGCATAGCTTCCTGTTGTGCCGTCTTCATATTGATCCTGATGCAGGGGGCAGTCGGCCTCTGGGTCTCTCATGACGCGCAATCTTCCAGTGTTCGCTTGAGATATGAGCTGCAATGAGTTGTGGAGGCCTCTCCTTTCCAGCTGAAGACTGGGGCATTGCCATGGTTTACAGACATGGTTCGGATCCTACGGAACAAAGAAGGAAAAGGCAGCCGTTGCAGAAGCTAAACAGAAAAAAAACCAAACGGTCATGGCGTTTCTCAACGGTTTGCACCGTTTTGAAAATCGGCCATCAGGGTCCAGAACCCAGGAACCGCATGCACGAGCCCCACTTGCGCCGGCAGCTTCCGATTAGTCATTTCCGAAATGGTTCTTCCGCGCCGATATTTGGGAGGGGCCGTGTGGGGTTTAGCTCAAGGAGGAAAGAGGTCCCACGGTGGCCCACGCCTGCCCAGGGGAGCACCCCCCGGTCGCTGCTTAGTGGGAGACGCGGTTCATCACTTTCGCTCTCCGTCCCAAATTATTAACCTTCTCCTTTTGCGCGATCAATATTCCCCTGATGACTGCGAATCGCCGAGACGAACATGACGTCGACCGAATCATAGCATACCCGCGACTCGATTTTTGATCTTTCACGTCGCGTCAACTGTGTTTGACGCGACTTGTCGCTGAATCGCATCGCATCGCAAAACCATGCAGCTTCCCGCTGAAAACCATTGACGCCTTACACCACCAAAAACTAACGAACGTGGTCCCAAGATTTACCCGCCATGGACCACGATACAGCCGCCCCGGGTCAGTTAGGGGCGCGACCGAACCGCCGTGTTTCGACCCAATTGACTATCGACCAAGAGGGCCGCAAGCCGCTGTTCTCCAAGCCGTCGCGCGAGACGCTCAATCCAAGAGACACTGCCCCGGCAGCGTCAGGAACAACAAACCGTTATGGCTTCTCCCCCACGAACGCGCGCCCACCTTCTCGCGCAGCTGGCATTCCCCGACCTCCAAGCTCTGCTTCTATGCGACCACCTTCACGAGCTGCTGCTGCCGCCATCCCCCGACCCTCAAGTTCGATGTCCCAGACGCCGTCAGTCGGTTCCAACCATTCGGCCGATGTTGCTTCGCCAGGATCCCGACTTCCCCGCCCCAAATCTACAATCGGAGTCTTCGCCAAGGGCAAAATTCCTTCCGTAGCAGATGTTTGGGCGTTGGCGGGAGAAGAAGACCGACCAAGCCCCAGCCCTCTCGAGAGAACGCGCAGAACGTCTCCTGCTGTCGACGCTTCCCCGAGCCCTGCGCCCCGCCCTTTCCATAACAGACAGGTCGCTGAAGAGGCCAAAGTTCGACAGAACCTTAACAAGGAACCCAACGACTTCGGCCGTAGCCGACCTCTCTCCAGGTTGTCCAGCGACTCACTGCGCGACAGCTACGTCGGCCGCTATGGTGGATACAGCGGAAGCCCAGCGTCGCAGAGCGGCTCTAGCTCCGGCAGCTTCACCCGACGACTGAGCCAGTACGAACGCGAGATGGCCGAGTCGCCCAGCGCTGCCCGCCAGCCAGAAAACCTCTTCGGCAACACGAGAGTCGGGCCATACATCGCGGACACCGGTCGAACACTAGCAAGGAAGACGAGCAACAGCAGCCTGAACGGTGGCCCCGGGCTTGGGAGGCGCACGAGTAACAGCAGCCTGAACGGAGGCCAGACACTCGGGAAGCGAACGAGCAACTCGAGCTTGAATGGCACCAGCCCAAACCTGGGTAGGAAGACAAGCTACGGTAGTTTGGGTAGCAGCCCTGGTGCTAGGGCATTTGCCAAGAGCTCAGTCCCGGAAGGTTGGATCAAGCATCTTCTCGATGAGGACGACAAGGGCATCAAGAGAACACCCAAACCGGACTGGGAAGTTGCTGCCAATACGCCACTGCCTTCCGTTGAAGCACTCGAACCGACGCCCCCAACTTCGCGGCCGGGCTCCACGAACCCTGAGGCGCGATCGCCGGAGAAGAGCTTCGCATGGCAGCTGGATGCCGACTTCACTGCCGGAGACCTTCAGATCTCGGACAGCCCGCGCATTAGAATTAGCGGCTCTGGATACGACGATGCCTCCAATCGACGATTCTCCAACGGCAGCGCATACGCAGAAGAGCCCGAATCAAGCCCTTTCCGGAGGGAAGCATCTGCCGGACCTCTCTCATCACGGGCAGCGCGGACCAACAGTAAGATTGACGAGATTCGCCAACGTGAAGAGAAGGCAAACGAGCAGTTGGCAGAGCTGCGCAGGAGCCAATCGAGGGGAAGGAACACCCGACTGGAGGAGATTCGTGAGAGAGAGGCTGAGGCTGAGGAGGAGCTGGCCAAGACGAAGGCCCAGACACGCTCATACTACCCTACACCCGACGAGGATGATCTCGCACCGCCTGTCAGGGAATATCCCCGACCGAAAAACTCCAAACTCGACACTATCCGAGCGCGAGAGGCAGAATTTGTGTCGAAGAAGGCTTTGGCTGAAAGCCGCTTGGAAGAGATTCGAGAGCGGAACTCAATGTCCAGAGAGTTCTCGCCAGAGGCCGAACGAGTCGACAAAGAATCAACACCTATCCGAGAGAGCAAGAGAGAAGCCTGGCAGCCTACGAAACAGGACGAAGGCGAACACATTGCAAACACCCCTGTCACTATTTACAAAAATGCCGGCGCGCCCAGAGAGACGAAGCCGGAGGCGAAAGTGGCGAGCCAGACGTCGCCCGGCCGACCTCAATTACAGCACACCCGAACAGACTCAAGAGATCTGCTGCAAAGGCTCGCCAGAGCTGCTAGCAGTAGCCCAGCTGGAAGCCCAGCGCCCGAGACGGTCAAGCCTCAAGCAGCCGCCGACGAAAAGACCGAGAAAGATACCCCACCGCCGAACACCATCAAGCACGAGGAGGAGAGACCAACTTCACGGACGGTGAACCCGGCTAGGACCATCGAGAGACTTCGAGAGGGTTTTGCGGAGGATCTTGAGCGCAACTCTCAGGACAGGCTTACGGCGCGAGAGCCGCAGGAGGCCATCAAGAAAGTGGTCGCCGAGCCGTTGGCCAAGGAGAAACAGACGACAGAGGTGGCCGAGGAAAAGGAGACAAAGGATCAGCCATCCGTCAAGACAGCACCGGTCGAGGAGGTGCCGAAGAAGACAGAGGATC